GGGGTGGCGGATGGCCCGGTGGCCCCAGCTCCCGGAGCTTGCCGTGCGGGGGGGGTCTGTGGGTGCGTTGGGGGGTGGCTCCTGCCGGTCCAGGCGGGCTTCCGTTCCCGTTCGATCTCAATTCCTCATTCCCGATCGGGGCTGCAGAACTTCCTCGTGGCCAGAGCCGCAGAAACTTTCCGGCGTGGTTTTGGGATAAGGGTGGGTGTGCCCACGCGGGTGAGGTGCGGGGTACCAGGGACCGGGAGAGTCGACTGGGGTTGGGGGTGGGCTGAAGGGTCTCCACTAGCTGGAAAGTTAAACTTCCTGCCCCCATCTAGCCCCTCCCCCAGGGATGCTTTTTTTTTTTTTTTTTTTGGGTCAGGAATGGGGAACTAAAGGCAGGGAGGTGCTGCCGCCGGCCTTCCTGGGAGGGAATAGGGCCTGCCACCCAGACTGTCCTCCCTGCGTCTGGCCCGTCCTCCCTTCTCCTCCTCTCTCTGGCCTGGATCCCAGGTGTCTGTGACCTTTCTCCGCTTGGCCCGCAAGCAGAGGGGGGTGTGTGTCTAAGGTGGGGGTTATTCCAGGACCTGGTCTGGCGTCCAACCTGGTGTGGTCATTCGGGCCTGGCAGGGTCATCAACGCGGGCAAGAGTCGGCACAATGAGGACCAGGCTTGCTGTGAAGTGGTGTATGTGGAGGGTCGGAGGAGTGTCCCAGGGACTCCCGGTGAAATTAGCCAAGGCCAGGTAAGCCTCCAGCCCCTCTCCTGGCCTCAGAGACACAGCGACAGCTCTCCCCAGGGACTCCCAGCATCTGGGTTTAAATCCAAGACACATGGAAGCCCAGCTTCCCAACTCTCTAGCTTCTACATGAGACTCGACCATGTCAGAGGGAATGTTTACTTTCCCGCTTAAAATATAGATGCTCAGCTGGGCTCGGTGGCTCAGCCTGTAATCCCACGCTTTGGGAGGCTGAGGTGAGTGGTTTGCCTGAGCCCGTGGGTTCAAGACCCGCCTGGGCCACTTGGCGAGACCTCATCTCTACA